GGTGTAGGTCCGCGGCGGCGGCGGATGGTGAGGGAAATCTTCAAAGAGGCGCGGCAGAGGCGCTCACCGTCCAGAACGCCCAAGTGCCATGGCGGCAGAGTGCGTGTCGCCGGCCTGCAGGACTTCGTATTGCGGAGGTCGACGGCCGCCGCGGTGTAATCGTGGATCTCCTTGATATGGAAGAGGACTAGATGCTTGACCCCCTTTTGCCAGTGCTCCGGCGGCGTCTCCGAAATCGTGATCGATGTGCTGAGATGCACCATTGCACAATATATGGTGCAAGTTAAACAGTAATGTGGGATGCAATTAGCTTCTTATTATGCATGCATGTGTTTACCAAAGCTGAAATTTGCATGTTCTCTCAGTTGTCCACACTTCTTGCGAAGGGAGGAAGTATCTATTAAGATTCGGCAAGATACATTTGATAATGAAGTGGCAATAGGTACATGGTTTCAACCCAAGGTCCCATGGTTAATTCTCAACACACTCACTGTTTCTTCTTAATTATTCGACAAGCAAGTTAGATCCGACAGAAAAAATTAAAACATATCCAGACAAAAAAAACTTCGGTCTTTGACAACTCCCTCCGTTTCATACTCCTGTTTATGGTTTCGCTTGCTATGTATTTTTATAAACTTGAGGAACTTAAATAAGTTTGACTAAGAAAAAAAATAAAGTATGAAATAAGAGTATTATGTTACATAAAAATATATTCGATCTAACTATGAAACTAATAGGAGAGACATAACATACTTAAAATGCATATTTGATCCGACGCGCTGGCGACCGGGGGGCGAAAACCCTAGCGCCGCCCGCCTTTCCCCTCCCCCTCCCCCACCTCGCCGCCGCCGGAGCTCACCGCCGGAAAGTCGGCGGGCGAGCTATGATGGCGGCGGCGGGGCTATTCTCTGTGGCGGCGCCCTCTCTCAGGCGCGGGAGAGGCAGCGAACGGTGGCGTCTGGGGAGTGGCGGCGGCGAGCCATCTCGGCGAGGAGGCGGCGGATCCGGCGCTGCCTTCGCCGGATCTGGCCATCCCCTAGCTGGATCCAGCCAGAGCGCGGGCGGGCCGGCGACGAGGTGGCATCGGTGCGGAGCGGCGAGGTGTGAGGATGGCGCGGCGGCGCGACAAGGGTGACGGCGACGGCAGAGGACGGTGCGACGAGGCGTGCTGCCTTCGCTGGATCTGGCCATCCCTAGCTGGATCTGGCCGGTGACGGCTCCTTGTGGTGCGGAGGCGTCACGGCGTGAGAAGGCGGCGGTGCTGGCGGTGGAGGCCGCCGCGGCGCGGCAAGGTGCGCGACGCCGGCGCAGTGAGGTGGCCGAGGTCCGGGAACTGCCAATGGCGGTGGGGAGCCCCTGGTGCCCGACAGCGATGGACAGGAGGCGCGCTGCCTGGCAGCGGGGTGCATCGGTGGATGGCTCAGCCTTGGCCGGTGACTAAGGTTGACCCGGCCGATGGGCTCAGTGGCGGCGAGGCTATTGCAGGTGGAGGATGGATGCGACGATGATGCGACTAGCGGCTTGTTGACACGGGTAGCCGGTCGAGGCGGCGACGATGGTCACGTCATGAAGGGGTGTTGAAGCCTACGGCGATCTTCCCTCCAGGTGTTTGCCCTTTTGCGGTGGCGGCTTGCCGCCACAAGATGGCCACGCTGGACGGGCCAGTGCGGGGGCGCAGGGGGGAGGGGATCCATTCTTCTCTCTCCCCCTCTCCACCTCCAACCCAACCACGTGGATGGAGTTGAAGCGCGCCGAAGGACGAAACTCCACTTTGATGGTCGGCCGGCAGCGAGGCGGCGCAGTGGTTGCGCGTCGAAGGGGATTAGCTGGTGGTACCGTTGAACCTGACATGTACGCTTTAGTGCAGGAGAGTAGGAATTAGGGCGAAAGCCTAGATTCCGGGCCAGCAATGGTGACATCTGTGGGTGCCGCTTTCCCCTTGGGGCCTTGCTACGTTTCCTTCCCTTTCCCAATGGGTTCTTTAGGTGAAAACCACTTCCTGGAGATCCAGGACGGGCGACGGCGACGCACTTGGCGTCGTTCCTTCCTTGGAGGCGTCGTTCATAAGACCCATTCCTTACGGGTGTTTTGTGCTTGTTTTGTTCTAACAGTAGGATCAGACGTAGACGCGTGGTGTGGCTGTATTTTATTTTTTTTGGCTATAGTCTTCCAGGGCTATAGACTTGTATTTTTTTTTCTGCTCTATCAATAGAAACGTCGCACTGTCGGGTTGTTTAAAAAAAATGCATATTTGATCAGACCATATGATCTGATACGTAAAACAAACTAATGATTATAGGTTTTTATTTCGACGATACAGTACCTGAAAAAACAAAACAAGAAGATGGCTTGCCACAGGAGCAAACACAGACTGAAACTCATCAAGCTAGCTAAATCCCGAATCAGAAAATTAGGCCTGTGGCGCCACGCCAGCATCAGAAAGCCAGCGGACACCGTCATCGCCGGGAACGACACCAGCAGCGCCAATGTCATGCGCGCCCGCCGGCGACGCGCCGCCGCCGCCGCCGCGATCGTGTCTCGCCTGATCCGCCGTCGGCAGCAGCTTCGTCATGCGTGTTGCGTCGATGCCTGAAACAGATTACGAATAATAAATTATCGAATTATGAAGTGTATCGAAGTAATTAACCGGCGAATCACAAATTAATTTCGCGTGTACATGCTCTGCTCTGGTCCGAAGTTTCGCTTGCCATGCTGCCCAAGCCGCTCTGCAAGATCGAAGTATTGATCACGTTATTAGATGATGAAATCTGTTCATTGGTCATATTAGACGAGTACATATATATGCATGTATGCGCAATTGTATACGGTATTCTCAAAAAAAAAAAAACGTCTACGATCTGGCGCATCCAAGAAATATACTCCTTGCCTTTAACAGATGTGTACCGATAAGGCGATAAGTGCATCTTGCTCTCCTCAAGCAGTCAAGCTAAATACCTGCCAAACTCTTTTTCTTTTTGCCAAACTCTTAATTACAGTCCAAAGTACTCAAGAGTTAAGGCTGCATTACGAATTGATTCTCGGATTGGCTACTCCCTCACCTATCGGAAGCACATAATCCGAACTGCTAAAGGATATAATTTTTAAATAGTTTTTATATAAAAGTTACTTAAAAATTAAATAAATCTATTTTTAAGTTTGTACTAATTAAGTTTCGGGTGTCACTGAAAATATGGTTTTCGAATACGCTCCCTTTGGTCTAAGTGGTTTTGAAGTTTATTCTCTCGGAGGATCATATGTGGTCTTTAGCTGGGGTTGCCGCTTTTGGGGATTTCTAGAGAGTGTAACGTGGCTCTGTCCCTTCTCACTTCCCACTGTTAGAAGTTGCGTTTAGCCGCCGTAGTAGTTTTTTTCCCTAAGCTTCAGTTTCTGTTTTGCTTTTTCTCTATTCCCTTGGAATAAGCCGGTCTGGAGGATTGTATTGTGTAACAAAAACTCTTTTCCTTTTCTTTTAATATATTGGCGTGCAATCCTTTTGTGCATTTAAAAAAAAAAGATCCGACAAGCAGATTTAAACGAAGCCTTATTATATGGTAATTCACCAAACACCGAGTAAAGTGTGCAGACTAGAAATGAAATTTAAATATCAAAACATTATTTTTAAAGATTTTGTTTTTTGGGGGGAGGGGGTGTGTGGGTTTCATCCTAGCCTATTTTTCAACATTGCTTTTTTAAATATGATATAACACAGATATAAAATTTTACTCGTAATTTTTCTTTAGTTACTTCGTTGCTTTTTTCATGGCTTATCAACCATAGCTCAAATGATGGGAGAGAAAGCATACTCCATTTCCAAACCATTATAACAAAACTTAGTAATGAGAGGAAAAATATTGAATGAAGGAAGTGTCCCATTAATTAAAAAAAAAGTATTGACAGGTGGCACTCCATAGGGAGTACCCCCATAGAAGTATTGAATGAAGGAGAAGTTACACTACAAGCATTGCAGGATAAAATTTGTTGATTTTTGAACCGAGGGTGGTATTCATAATTAATAAGGTATATAGTCAAGGAAACTTTTTCCTTGATTTGCTAAGGTAGGCTAGGCCCAACTAGCTCACTTGGGCCCAGTTAACCAGGCAGGTTGTTATTGTCCACAAGTCCACCAAACTGATCGTGTATCCTCTCAGATTGCTGCTGCTGCCTCCAGCAATCAACAACTCCAGATCAAATCCTTCAGAAATTACAGGCAGGAGAGAAGTGTTCTGTATCAAATTCTGGCTCAACTTCTTCACATTCTAAAAATCTCAAAAAAAAAAAAAACAGAGAGCATCCCACTCAAGCAGAGAGAGACGTGCTTGCCAAACGAATGTCACTTCCCACTTCTCCTGCTAGTTCGCAGGTAGCACGTCCTACCTCAGGGCTATCCACCCATAAAAATCACCTTTCATCCAACGGTTGCACGATCACAAATCCGCAATAGACCTTGAGAATTAAGGCAAGTCAACAACCCTACCAGAGGTTCTTGGAAAGTGCATGATACCGTCTCTTGAAGCTTTTACACAGAAAATTTTGGTACTACTGAAACCGTCCTTTTTTTGAAAAAAGTATAATTGAAGGCTGAAAGGTTCATGAAGTATGAACTGACGGTTTCATAGTTATTACCTCTGATTTTGGTCTGAAACTGTAGCTTGTCTCGGAACTGTATTAGTCAAAACTCACCAAAGACAAACCTGAGCTAGTATGAAAGAAGTTCAGACTTCTAGAAGCAGCATGTTGCTGCTTTGAGAAAGACAGATATCTGTCTAATTCAGTTTAGTACCATTCGCTCGGTTGGTCAGAAACGTTAGTAGCAGTCAGTGGAAAAAACATTGGTGTTATGGTTTTTCCACTGACCAGATTAGTTGGAGCGTGTTGTTCTGAACTTTCTGCAAATGGACACGAAATTGCCTGCAATTGGTAGGCACGGCAAGGAAATTTCTCTGCACAAGGTCTCTGTAGGGTTAGTTCTGAAGAAACAACGGACTTGAATAGCTGATATCTTGGAAGAATTGGGTACCATATCAAATTATCAATCACAACTTCTATATTGCAAATAGTAGGACAGGAAAGAAGACTGAACAAGGAGTTCATCAACACGGCTCGTCCTGCAAATGCATTTTCAGGAGGCCGAACTACGAAGAGACTGTTTCATATTTACAATGTACGTATGATTCACTTGTTACAGCATGCCATGCGTTGGAGTGTACATCACAAAGCAGAACTAAGACCAAAAATTTTCCTAGAAGAAAATCACTAAAAAAAAATCTGTGTATCTGTATACGTGTATCTTCTCACAATGTCAGACTCAGACACTACACTGCTTTGTTTGATGGCCCCCTTTTAACCTGACCTGCATAATGGATTAAGCAAAGTATTATTTTCAGTAAATAAATTGATCGACTAATCCATCTTTATGATGCTGATTAGGATAAGCAAACTTTTTAAGGCTGTGAATTATTCCTTTTTGCCTAAAATATTCGGTGCATTGCAGCTTAGTAATTGATTCCTCATCGTTCTCACCGAAAGCAGAAGGCAACATGTCGATGTGATATACCCAGAGAGAAATGCCTGGATTATTCTCGAGAATCGCGCTTTCGGCTTGCACGAATCTCAAGGCACTCAGATTATACATGATCATGGCTGATTGGCTGTCACTATGCCCAATTTGATTGTTGCAATTTCAGTTTTTTTTTTTTCAAATTAGGCGTGTATCGTGATCGAAAAGATTTCACTTTTGAAGCGAAGAGAGAGGGGAAGGGTGCTCACCGCCTCGACGTCGATCCGGTAGACGAGCAGGCGGCGGCGCTCGCGGCAGCTGGTGCGGTACGCGACGGCGAGGTGCGCGGCGGCGAGCGCAACCGACAGCAGGAGCATGGGCTCCGGGCCCTTCCCCTCCGGTGCCGGCGCGACGCCGCGGCGCGGGAGCACGGCGGCGGCGGCCTTGGCCAGCACGTAGGACACCGACCCCGCCGCGCTCGTCGCCACCACCCACAGGTACGCCGCGCCTCCGCCGCCGCACGCCATGTACGCGCCTGCGAAAGAGAAGAAACCGTCGAGGTCAGAGAGACAGAGAACGAACACGAGGTCGATCGAACAGAGGTGGCGGGCGTCGATTGCTCACCGAGTATGAGCAGCGCGCGCGCGGCGGAGACGGCGAGGAGGTCGACGAGCGACGAGCGGAAGTCGAACGCCCGCGCCTGCGCGACGACGGCCGCCACGAACGACGCGTCGTCCCCGCCCCCGCCGCCGCGGAGGCGCGCGGAGAGGAGCGCGGGCGGGAGGGCGAGGTCGAGTATCACGACGAGCACCGGCGGCGCGCAGACGAGCAGCAGCGACGCGATCATGGCGACGACGAAGAACGCCGTCTTGGCCCACCTCCACGGCCGCGCCCACACCCTCTCCCCTCCTCCCCCATGCTTCTGCGCCATCGCCAGCGCCACCGGCAGCAGCAGCAGCCTCTTCTCCGCCATATCCCTCCCGCCGCCAGCTGTGGTGGTGGTCGCCGTCGCCGGAGCGAGCTAGCTATAGAGTCGTGGGCTATGGATTGCTTCGCCGCGTCGAGGCCGACGGTTGAGGGGGACGTGGCGCGACGCGAGGTTGACCTTGCCCTGCGCCCGCAGCTGCAACTCCCTTTAATACTACTCCGATCGTGCCGAAGCTTCGGCGACTCGTTTAATTACGGCGGTAACTGCTAGGGGAAAAACGACTCGTTTAGTTTATTTTTTTAGGTAAAAAAGGTTGTAATAGTGTGTTTTAAGTTTTAACCGTGTGGGCTTGCGCATGGGGAACGTGGTCGAAAATTCCGACGTAGTTGGACCCGAGCCGGACTCGAGGGAGACCGGCAGGTGAGAAAGGTGAAAGAAAAGGGGAAAGGTGAGATCTGCTTCGTTCGTGTAGGTGAAGAAATTCGAAATTCTTCAGGTTTTTCACCTGCCAGAATTACCAAATCCCAACTGTACAAGAGTACAGGAGTAGCAGCAGTAAACTTTCTAAAAAAAAAAAGAGTAGCAGCAGCAGCGGGAGTGGATTTTAATCGATGTCCACTCGTTGTTTACATGCCACTCAAATAGTTTTGAAAAAAATTAAAAAAGTTTTGGGAAGATGTATTAACATGTGATATATCACTTCACAAACATGCAAATTCAAATTCAACTTTCAAATATCGTAAAAAAACAAATTTAACTCTAGATATATGTTAACTAGCTGTAATTTAATTTGTTTTTTCGTTGTGAGATACATAAGTTGAATTTGAATTTGCATATTTGTGAAGCGATATATCATATGTTAATACATCTTCTTAATTTAATTTTTTTTATAACCATTTATGTAACGTATAGATAACGAGGGTATATCCCCTCGAGGGATATAAATAGTTTCCCCAACAGCAGCTACTAGAGGAGAGTAGAGTCCAAACTTGGGTGGCCGGTGGTAACACATGGCAGGCATGTGTATCTGCATCTGCATGGCCAAGATGGACCACATGAATGACGGCGTGGTACGTCGGCGAGACACGCGGGAAGGTGGGCGCCAATCACATGGCGGCGCCGGCGCCGGCGCGGCCGGGGTAGGAACGGGTGGCTCGGCGCCGGCCAGGTCCGGTCACCGTCTTCCGTGGCTGATGTGTCATGTGTGTGGGCTTCTGGATATCGGAGCGAGCAGCCGTCATCGGCCATGTGTACGGCAACCGCTAACCGCCAATGATAATTAAGTATCAAAATTATTTAAGGTGTGTTCTATTCCCACTATCCACAAATATAAGATGTTTGTAACACATCCTAGTACAACGAATCTAGACAGCGAATCCGTCCAAATTTGTTGTACTATGATATATCACTTTCAACGAAAAAACCATATATCTGTGGACGGAGAGAGTATATTGCACGTTACTAACTTCTACTCTCTCTTTTTTTTAACTTGCACATTTCCTGAACGGCTGAATTGTGTGTTTTCTATAAAACAATTCTACAGAAAAGTTTGCTTGAAAAAATCATATTAACACATCTTTCAATTTTTTTACTAATACTTAATTAATCATTTGTTGATGCACCGCTTCATTTTAGATGTATGAGGGAAGGGTTTACTAGAGTATCTCCTTCAGGTTCTCAAATATAAGATCTATTTTGCTTCATTAGGACAACACTTTACACCAGAATTGTTCTTCTATAATATTAAAGCATAATTGCAAATACTTTTAAATATAAGTATAATAAAATTAATTTTGTGTCAAGAATTATTTTTTCCTAAGAGTAAATGTTAGTTAAACCTTCCATACTAATATTTTAGAGCAGAGGGAGTGTATAATTTGATTGATCAAGTAGTTGTAGTGTTCAATATATTTCGTTCTTAAAAGTAGTTGTAGACTTGTAGTGTTCAAGTAGGCTGTTGGTGGGGACCACCTCCAAAGCTGACGAATTGATGGAAGAAAAGAAAAATGAAATACTAATATGCATGTTGTCTTTGTTCCGCATCTGATTGAGGTTTTTAATTGATGAACTCTTCTAGTAGATGACGATTTGCAGTTAGCAGTTGCACTTGGATTTGGATTCGGATATGTGCATTGTCAAAATATATAACTAAATGCTGCTAGTAGTGTTCTTAGGCCAGCAGTTTTGGTTGGCTTCACAAGGAAGATGAGCATATTGATAGAGCTGTCGCATGGACAATACAGACGACGTTTTCATGCGCATAAATTATCATTGTCCATCTTGTTAAGTACACAGACCACTGTGGATTGTATATGGTCAGTACATGTACTTTCACGCCATATGGCCATCTCGGATATGCTTCAATTCGATGTTAATTACACAAGCAAATCTAGATTAGCCAACAAAGTGTGGCTTAATTAACTTGCCTGTACACACCCTGCTCAGTTTTTGTAATGTGAACCAGGACCCCATCAGTGAGGAATATTATTCCTTCAATTATCCCTATACTACAGTCTACAGCTATAATAACTAGCTATCACTATTACCCGACTTTGTTGTACTTACGTGTTCGCATTCAGACGCATTTTTTTTCTTTTAATCAGCCAGCATAATAATATATCAATTTTATTAATTAGAGCCGAAAAACGTTTTAAAAAAGACACAAATATTAGGGAATGACCTAATATCAAATAATTAGAAGGGGTGAGACTTCGATTCCAAGCCGTCTAGCCCACTACCTTGTGGAGCTAGCCGGAAAACTCCTGGGCATTTCTCGCCCAAAAACGTTTATAACCCCAATGGTGAAAAAGGAGCTATATATTCCATTCAGACGCTACTGAAAATGAAGTGTGCAGTTGTGATGGACAAGATTATTTTTGCAAACGACAGCATGTTTCGACACATCTGAGGCGTTCAATTTCTTGTCTGGTGCCGGTCAGCAGTTGCAGGTTAGGTTGAGATTTTCAGGAAGCAGACAAGGCGCTGGCCCACGTTGTGTTCATCTATGAGCTCACAAGTTAGCCGCCATTTGGAACGAGGGTGCATGCATTTTTTTTAATTTTATTTTTGTTAGTTTTGAAAGAACAGGTGCACGAATAATATAATTCATTGGCCGATCCTAATCATGTGACAACTTGGGGAAAAACAAATAATTGCACTCAATTGAAACTTGGTGTGTAAGACTTTCTAGTACTAGTTCATTTTTTTCCTTTGAGGTTAAGCATTATATCCCATTCATATCTTTCTTATTTTTTTCTGCAAGCTGCTCTATGATCGATCATATGGACTGGGTACATGTTTGCATCTAGCCCAACTGGGTTGGAGTTATATACTACCTTCATATCAAAATATAGCAATTTTTAGTTATGAAGTGTCCAGATTCATAGCTAAAAATTGCTATATTTTGGGATGGAGGTAGTACTTTGCATTTTCGTCCATCGATTTTAGAGTACACATACATACGCATTTAGTACGTGTATGCGTTTTAGGATGAGCCGATGAGGCCTTTGCATAGTAGATCTCTGTCAATTTTCAAACATTGTGTTGATTTGTAAATGATGAATCGTGTTCTCGTAGTTGGAAGTATTTAGCATGTTTGGTTACATTAGTTCTGTTGATTTTATGAATTATGGATGAATATACATGTTAATTTTTCATGACAATGCTTTAAAACTCCTTTTCAACTCCACAATATTTAATTCATTTTCCCAACTCACCTCCCTCGTTTTCCGCGCGCACACTTTTCAAACTACTAAACGGTGCGTTTTTTGCAAAAATATTCTATGTAAAAGTTGCTTTAAAAAATCATATTAATCCATTTTTCAAATTTATTTTAGCTAATACTTGATTAATTATGAGATAAACGCTGCTTTGTTTTGCGTGGGAGTGTCCTCACTCCCGAACACACCCTAAACCAGGCCTAGGTTGGATTTCAACGGGGAAAAGGGCGAGCAAAAACAGATGGTGATCGAGGCTACTACTCAAACTATTCCACGACGCGCATTGCACGGACGTACTCTTCCCAGCAAAGACTTGGTGATGGTGATCGATGCCGCCATTCCTCTGCCGTACTTCGATCGCTTGCTTAACGCGAATTAAGCTACCAATAATCGAAGCTTCCACCCAACCTTTTTTTTTCCAACGACGACCTTGATCTTGGAACTTTTGGCTGATGACCAGTCCGTCAAACATCCCGGCCAGCTTAATTAGCTGCCGATGTTGACGGGCACCGTGGCGAGAGAGACTTAAGCAGCAACGGCCATTGTTTGTACGCGCTTGCGTTCGATCGGCAGTGCAAGAGCCACCAAGATCGATAGCTCCATCGCCGGCGAGCGACGGAGATGGCGGCGTCGCAGGCGTACCTCGACAAGGCGCAGCTCCGGCAGAGCTACCGCAACGTCTGGCACACCGACCTCACCAACGCCATCACGGCCGACTTCACATGTGAGCATTCGTCATCCCTGTGCAAAATGATAGTGCTAGTTTTCTGATGATTTTTGGGAGTCGATCTAATTTTCTCTATCTTTTTTTTCCCTGCAGGCTGCTGCTTGTCTCTGTGGTGGTGAGTTTGTTCATCTAGGTTTCTGAATCTCTTCATGGCTGCATCGATCTTCAGCTTAGGAATATTGCTAAGTCTGACATGTTTCTTATCTGATCCATTTCTCCTTATCCAGCGGACCATGTGTGTCTTACATGCTGCGCAAACGTGCGCTCTACAATGACATGTCGAGGTAAATTTGCTCTTTTTCCACCATATGTTTGTTCATGCGAAAGGGCATGTAGCTTAGTGGTTGCGGTAATCTGAATAGTACCCCAAGGTTCTAAGTTTAAATCTCTATATGAGCGAATTTCAAATTGGGTTTGAGGGGCTAAGTTTTCAATTTGAAAGGCTACATATATTCGATTGGACATAGAGACCGGGTAAAAATTACCCTTCTCTAGAAAAAATAAATATGTTTGTTCATCGTGCATAGTTAACTAGCAGTGCAGTTCTCTGTTCTTAAGTCCCTTTCACGCGCGTGTGTGTGTTTCAGATATGTGTGCTGTGCTGGGTACATGCCATGCAGCGGGAGATGCGGCGAGAGCAACTGCCCCGAAGTGTGCCTTGCAACCGAGGTAGCCATCTGCGTACTGTAGCCACCCGAGCTGAATCAGTTCGATGATCTACATGATCTTGACATGTAATGTATTCAAGCTGAACCGATTCAGCTGATGAAACTGTATTTGTTTCAGGTGTTCTGCTGCTTTGGTAACTCGGTGGCTTCAACCAGGTTCCTGCTGCAAGATGAGTTCAACATTCAGACAACCCAGTGCGACAACTGCATCATTGTACTATCACTCCCCTCTTGTTCATCCGACTCTTCCAGGGGCGTAGCCAGCTAGGTGGCACCGTGGTCCACGGACCACCTAAAAATTTGAAATTATAGTATATGTGCTAGTTAATATAGTAAAAATTGTATAGTGGATCACCCTTTTAATTGATATATTACATATAGATGGACCACTTTTACTTTAAATCCTAGCTAAGACACTGGACTCTTCTCGACCCGATTTGTTTCAGACTGCGATTAAACACAGCTGTCTTGTTACTTTAGGGCTTCATGTTTTGTCTCCAACAATTCGCCTGCATCTGTTCGCTGGTCGCTTGCATCGTTGGCAGCGAAGAACTTTCCGAGGCCTCGCAGTTGATTTCCTGCATATCTAACATGGTCTACTGGACGTAAGGCTCTCAACTCAAGTATTCATCCTTCTGAAATCTGATTTCTTTCTTTCCAATTACCAGTATTTCTGATGTTATCTGTTGCAATGTGCAGGGTTTGCTCTTGTATGCAGGTAATGGCACATTTTTTTTTTTACTTTCCTCCTGAATAATCTCACTGCTTTAAATTCCTGATATCTTATGATGAAACTGCAAAATGTAAATTCAGACACAGCACAAGGTCGAGATGGACAAGAGGGACGGCAAGTTTGGACCTATGACAGTGCCTCCAATGCAGCAGATGTCTCGCATCGATCAACCGGTTCCGCCTTATGTTGGGTATGCGCCACAGGCACAGCCAGCATACTACAGGTAGCCTGATGGTGGCTATCCAAGAGTTCAACATACAGATCATGCATGCTCAAGATTTTCTGTAGCAAAGTGAAGGATGGTGATCAAGTAGATACATAGTGTTTGTGAGAATGTGAAGTGTCTCTAGTTTCTTTAGGTGATTTAGATGTTTCAGATTGGTATTGAACTTGCGATTTTTATGTGGGAATGGTGTGGGTTCTTACCTCTCTGTTCCTGAAACATTCTTGTGTGAATAAAATTGGGGGCATTGGATGGTTTTGTATTCCTCCAAAAGAAAATCGATGGACTTTATTACTATCTACCTTACTTTTTCAAGTCTGATATGTTGCAAAAAATAAAGAAGGCGTCCATCTTGACCTGTAGTTTGCAGCAAATGCTGAAGTATTGGGATGTAATGCAACCTGTCATAGTCACCTCAATGTTGTGGCCTTACAGAAGTCTCATGAGAGGGGTTAGTGGTTGCAGTGATCTGAGTAGCACCCTAAAGTTCTGAGTTTAAATCTTCATAGAATTGAATTTCAAATTGGGTTATTTGAAGGCTAAGTTCTATATTCGATAGGCTAAGTTCCTAATTTAAAAAGGCTACATATATCCGGTTGTATATATAGACAGGTAAAAATACCCTTCTAAAAAAACAGAAGTCTCATGAAGAAAACAAAATAAACCCAAACCTTTTCTGAGTTCAGATGATCTAGACCGTCCATCTATAGATATCGGTCCGGTGAACGGGTGATGAACATGTTGAACTTCAGTTATATTTTTTAAAAATATATTTTTATATTACTGAAACATTTTATATTTCTGCAATGAGGTAGTAGAGATTAACACCAGTGGACCATTTATCAGCACTGAATATTTTAACAAACCCAAATCTGTTTACCTTTTTCCAAAAACAATAAAATAAGTTTGGGGGGGACCTTATCGGCTGGCATGTTCATTGTATTGAAATGCTGAATTATACCACATTCTCCACAATCTGAATTGAACAAGGACACTACTAGTAACAAATTGGGATCACAAGACAAAGACACATTCTTACACCCAATCTGCCGTACCGGCAAAATGGATAGAAAAACAGAGTACAGCTCGGTTCCTTGCCCGCACGTATGTAGCGTCCGGTACATGATTGTGATAAGCCCTCGTACTAACAATCTCCACGATTCGCAGTGTGTGCAGGCACGTCGTCCGGCGAAGTTGTGCGCCGTGTTATTCTAATATTCTCCAACTAATCATCACTCTGATTGATTGATTGGTCAATCCGATGCTCACTATAAATTCCAGTGGTTGCATGCTTTTTCTTCATCAGAGCTCGGCAATTCAGCCTAGTGTGGTGGTGCAGAAGACCACGAGCAGGACAAGATCGGTGCAATGGCGGCGGCTTCATCGACGACGGCGACGACGGCCATCCTGGCGGCAGTGATCATCTCTCTCGCCGGCGCTGCCACCACCGTGGACGCCAAGTTCAGGGCGATGCAGTGGACTCCCGCCCACGCCACGTTCTACGGCGACGAGACGGCGTCGGAGACGATGGGTACGTACACTCGTCGGATTATTTGCCCCACGCCTTAAAATACATTTTTTGTAAAAAAAAAATCTTGCTTTAAGCTACTCTCTTCGTTATAAATTATAAATCGTTTTGACTTTGATCAAATTAAATTGCTTCAAATTTAACCAAGTTTATAAAAAAAATAACATATTCAACACTAGATAAATCTATCATAAAAATATATTCAATTATAAATTCAATGTAACTAATTTGATGTTGCAGATGTTATAAATTTACAATAGTTTAACTTTGACCAAAATCAAAACGATTTGTAATACAGAATGAATGTAATATTTGTTAAATTTTCATAGGGATGAGTCCATGCGTGTTCTAGAAACAATAATTTATATAAATAATCATGTAATAAGTACATTAGTGTAATAATCTGTACCAAATTGGGTTGTGGCAGGTGGGGCGTGCGGGTACGGCAACCTGTACGCGAGCGGGTACGGGACGGACACGGCGGCGCTGAGCACGACGCTGTTCAAGGACGGCTACGGGTGCGGGACGTGCTACCAGATGCGGTGCGTGGGGACGGCGTCCTGCTACAGGGGCTCGCCGGCGATCACCGTGACGGCGACCAACCTGTGCCCGCCCAACTGGGCGGAGGACCCCGACCGCGGCGGCGGCGGCTGGTGCAACCCGCCGCGGGCGCACTTTGACCTCTCCAAGCCGGCGTTCATGCGGATGGCCGACTGGCGCGCCGGCATCGTCCCCGTCATGTACCGCCGCGTGCCGTGCGCCCGCGCCGGCGGCCTGCGGTTCGCGCTGCAGGGGAACCCGTACTGGCTGCTGGCCTACGTCATGAACGTCGCCGGCGCCGGCGACGTCGGGGACATGTGGGTGAAGGCCGGCGGCGGCGGGGGTTGGGTGCGGATGAGCCACAACTGGGGCGCGTCGTACCAGGCGTTCGCGCAGCTCGGCGGCCAGGCGCTCAGCTTCAAGGTCACCTCCTACACCACCGGCCAGACCATCCTGGCCGCCGGCGTCACGCCGGCGAGCTGGTGCTTCGGGCTCACGTACCAGGCCCGCGTGAACTTCTCCTAGATCGTTTTTTTAGTAGCAGCAAGCAGCGAGGAGAACTCACTCTTGATAAGTGAGAATGCTCGGCTCTGCTGCTCTCTTCTATCGTCTGCTCTGTCGCTGTATCGTAGTTACTCCCGTTGCCCCCATCCACAACATCAACATGGTCATGTGGAACAGCGGGGTTTGACGACAACATTGATGATGTACTCCAATATTGCCATATTGGAATGTAAACTACATTGTGATGATGCAAGCAAGGCAAAAAAATTTGCCGAGTTATTTGTTGTGATAGGCCACCTAATCACCAATTGTAGCAAAGCTACCATATACAACAAAAAAAAAAGACATGTGCTGCAACTTCCAGCATCCTCGGTATAACCAAGAAAACTTCACCACATTTCATGCAAAAACAACGCAATTATGGTTTGGATTAGATACACTAACGCTTTATAAATGGAATTATGGAAACACGAAGAAAGGACTCACAAGCAAGTTGAATTGCAAAACAGTACAAGGCAATTTTCTCTTCAAGAGAGTTGGTACGACCAGGGATTTAGTTCATTTGTTATCCAAATTAGCATCCATCACTCAAGCGGTTTCAACAGTTGACAAAGCTATTTCTGTTCTTCACACAGCACAAATGGTAATGACAGCACAAAAAGTCCACAATGATATTGGACAGTTCTTCAAACATTCCATTTTAGGTTATATCCCATAAAATCCGATATTTTCTGGTGCAATAATCTGAGATTTTGCAAACTACTATGCGGATGTGCATGATGAATCGGGTAGTAACTTTATTAGGCCAATGTCCTCAAAGCAAAGCAGGGTACTGCTTGGCCTGAACACGAACACGCCTCTTATATTCTGGTTTGTCCTGCAAAGTAGACAAAATAATGTCAATGAATGACATGTAATGTAAGAACAAGGAATGCCAGAATCTCATTTTTTTTTCATTCCGACCTGTATAAAAATGTGATAACCGTCAGTCTGTGCAGGATCAGCAGGATTTGGCTGATCAAGCAAGTCCTGTATTCCAACAAGGATCTGCTTTACAGTGATAGCAGGTCTCCAGCCCTGAGAAGATGCAACTGTAAATAAATTCGGTAGACTGGAAATAAATAAGACTGAAGAAACAGCTTGAAGACTTACACTATCCTCATTAAGAATTGAGAGGCACACTGTTCCTGAAGGATAGACATTTGGGTGGAAAAAGCCCTGTGGGAACTTGCACTTGGGTGGTTTGCTAGGATAGTCCTCACTGAAGTGAAGGGTAAGAGGGTAGTACCCACCTTCCCAATCGGTCTGTACAAATGTAGCAATACACACAAATAACATAAGCAATTATGAACTCTGGATGGAAAGAAACAGGAAAAGCTTAAAAGCAACCCCTAATTGGCGTTCCATGGGCAGAGTGAAAAATACACTGTAATATACATATATCAACATAAAGAAGCAATAAGTATATGACAATAATACATTTATTGAAGGAAAATTAGTATTTGTTAGCCTACTAGGCTGGTTTGTCAAGAGAGTGATTGTTACATAACAATAGAAGTTGAGCAGCAGCATGCTGAACTAATACACAAGATCACCAGGGGCGCACCCAGGCCCGGGCACCTTAGGCCACAACCTGGGGCCTGGCCCAACTAGCAATGGATCCCCCCATTGGTTACAGCTTAGAAATTTTGGCTCACAAAGGTTTGGCCCGAGGCCCGTCAGGCTAGCATCTATTGCCCAATACTATTTATTGTCTAACCCTAACTTCCCCCTGCTACCACTACAACGCTATGCGCTCGTGGGAGATGCGCCGACGCCGATGCGTCCGTCCCCTCGCCTCCCTCCCTGCTCGCTCCCTCCAAGGCCAGCCGCCACCATACGTGAGTCTCCCCGCTTCCAGCCACCCACCACCCTGCCCAGCCACCTCACTTCCCTCCCTCCGTCCATGTCCACTGCCTCCTCAGCTCCTCTCGCTGGCTCGGCGGCCCGGCAACAAGGCTCTTTCTGCACAACCCCCCTGCACGGTGCGCCTGCGGCAAGCGGCAGGTGCTCAGAGTCTCAGACCTCCACTCTGTCGGGCAAGGAGCGGACGAGGACCTTGACAGGTGAGTTTTTCATAATCTATTTCTGGTATTCCCATTTCTCAAATGCCTAAATGGCCTAGATCACCTATAGATCTTCTGATTCCATTCAATTTGTTTTAAACTTAATAGAGATAGAAGGTGAAGAGGCTTAGCGATGAAATCTATAGATGATTGATGGGGTATAAAGAGAAGAATAAAGATGACCAGAAACATTTCAAAATTCTCCCGGGAATCATCTAATGACCAGAAACATTTCAAAATTCTCCCGGGAATCATCTATTCACTTCACTAAAAATACAAAATCTACAGTGTAAATCTTGTGCAATTGAGACGGGTAAAACCATTCTAAATGCTTTCGGTGGAAAAAAAATCCGCCATTTTTGTTGATGAGTATGATGGAGATGCATCTTTCAAAGAGCAAATAGCTGTCATTTTGAGGTTAGATGCTGTTTCTTGCGTTGTTGTTTTTTTCCTTTCGAAACTATAATAATTTGTATTGTACTTCTTATTATGTATTAGTGTGGGTCTCATTTATGGTATGGGATAGTAGCAATTAGATTTGGCCTAGGGCATGAAGAAATCCTGGGTCCGCCACTGAAGATTACTATATATCCCCCCATATGCAAGATAAAGTGTTTTGGAAGTGATGTTGATTATGAAGACAGTAGTGATGGTGACTATAATCCATCTTTCAGCAACTAAATCTTACAACATTCAGATCCTTGTACCCTGTTAATTCAATAACTGTGCCCGTGACTCCGTGCAATTGCATCGGGATTCATGAGTCCGTGTGCTCCATGCCTGGTTTACAGGTGGTAAAGCAAAGCACGCAGGCAACTGTGCAAACCTCTAGTGATGGAAAAGAACTATTTGATACGCTGAACCTAGAACGTTTGAAGGCAACTCATGCTACAAAATCACGTAATTAACACTCAAACAACAGAGAAAACTCCTCCCAGCTGTCCAGAAATAAAAGGTACTACTAGATCAATTGATGATAACACTAAAATTCTAAAAAAAAAAATCATACTAAGATCTGTAAGACCCTAGCAAATCCCCACTGCAAATCAACACGATCCATCAATAAAAACTTCATTCAAACCCTCCAACCAACATAACTACTCATAATTCTCCCACAGGTTATAGAGATTCCAGTGCAGATACCAATCCAATCTACAAATCTACCCCCCCCCCCCTCCCAAACCTACCAACAGAACAGCGCGGCAAAAACCTAAATTCTCCCCCACACAGAGGAAGCATCCGATTGCGTGGTCGCATCACAATCCGAGCACACACCAGCATCCGCAGCAGCATAATCGAAACAGATCGAAACAGGAAGAGGGGTGGGATGGTTCGCCGTCGGCGCCTCGGCTAGAGCAGTTTGGTTACTTACCCCCTGCTTGCCGGGGATGGTGCAGTGCCAGATCATGAGGTTCGCCGACCCGTCGGCCATCGTCTCCGGCTTCGCCACGAACCCCTGATCCAGAGCAAGCAAGCAAAGCACCAGGTCAGAAGAAACACAATCGGCGGCCATAGAAGATGCGAAAAAAATAGAAAAAAAATCACCGACGTGAGGGTGGTTCTTCCGCCAGGCCTTGCGCTCCTCCGCGAGGCGGCCGCGTGCGATCCCTCCCGACATGGCGGCGGCGGCGGGTGGTTGCTGGTTTGGGCTTGGTAGTCTCTGGAAAAGAAGAAGAAGCACCGCCTTCTCTAATCTCTAGTCGTTCGGTCTCTTGTATTATTATTTCCACGAAATTCGTTAATGGTAGCGTGGAAATCCCCGTGCGCGTGGGGCCCGCGTGTCAGAGGGGTAGGTAGATAAGGGTATTTTAAGGCTATCCGGATTATTCTATCCAAAATAAATCTTACCAAGTTTTAGCAAGCCATTGTGCTAAAATTTTGATAGGATTTCATAAGCATCAAAGTGAACCAGCCTTAGTATCTGGTTGCGGAGCTTTTAACAGTTGAAGCTCCTCCATAATTAAAAGTTTTGGTAAGCAGTATAGCTTTCTTACCCAGATTATAATATTTTTTACACCTGCATTATAGTAATTTATATTTTTACAATTTAGAATATAAATTTGAAGTCAAAAACTGAAAAGCCAAAGAATCTCATAACTATCAAAATAGGTGTTTTAAAATCTTAATCCCAAGTAGGCCCTTGAAATCTTGTAGAGGCGGATATTTTATAAGAAAGGCGATATTTTCGTAATAAACAAATGGAGAATGTGAGGCGGGGATCTTCTCGCTGAGATTGCGTTTGGTTTTGTCATCTTGCAAACGGCCCAGTGTGGGACCGAAACAAAAGTAGCGGAGGCCGGTGGATTCCAACGTTTTATTATTATTATTTTATTATTTTATTATTAATAATTTATTTTTCTGTGTTGAGGAGCATCAGGTTCGCGTGCCGAATTACCTCCGCCTTTTTCTATCTGTTTTGCTCAAGTTCTTTCTTTCGGTTGCAATCTCATCTCGCATCTGTTCTGTTCTGCCCAAAGGGACGAGAGCCTCACGAGGAGAGGAAAAAAAAATGAAGCAGGGAAATTGGTCACTCGTGAGTCAAATTTGGCTGCTCGGCGTGTGCATCAAGCCTCACTTTATAGAGTTCCTTTTTCTGACTATTGATTCATTAAATGAATAAAGAGAATTGATGTTGGTCTAGAACATTCAGTTTCAATCCTTGCACGAAAAAAAGAGGAAAAGAAAATAAAGAAGAATCTACAGTTCCAAAGAAAAAGAACGAGTACACTGCAGGGTGTAGACTATGACGTGGGCCATAATTGTCAACGATATTGGGCCGAGTTTGGCCCACTAGACCCATCCGTTTTTCTCTTGAGGAGATAAGGCCCGCAACGGTTCTCTCTCCTCACCTCTTGCTCGAGCTCGACATTGAACCCTAGAGCTCCGCATTGGATCCTCGTCTCGTCTCCGCCTCTCCGTCCTAGGGTTTTCTTCCACATCACCACGAGCCACTGATGAGTCGGATCTGCGGCGCCTGTGCCCTACACCACCTTCGTATTATGCACTTGTGATGTGTCCGCAGGTGGAGGAGGAAACATCCTCCATAACCCGCAGTCGCGATACGTTTTTATGGTGATCGTCGGAGGTGGTGCAGGACACGGGGAGGGAGGAGGAGGAGGATTTGGTGATGAGGATGACAGGGAGCTAGGTTGGAGATTTCTGAGTGCTTCGTCGGTTTGTCGGTCCACTGTAGCTGGCGCGCCGAACGAACCATACCACTAGGTACGTCTCTTCGGCTATATAGGCTTCTTCCTTATAGTTGCTTGCTTATTCAATAAATTTTTGGTCGAAGAAAATATTTGATATTTTTTTTCAAAAGCATATTCGTTAATTTTGGTCGAAGCCTATGACTCACATAACTAAAGGGTGGAGAGGTTAATGTACGTACCTTTTGAGAGTAAGGTTAATACTCACGAATTTTAAGTCCAAGAGGTAAGATACCTACAATTTTAGCCAAAGGTTTTATATAACTCACCACCGCGAGGTCTTAGAATGTGATGACCACACCAATAACCTATAGCCCAAGCGCGGCTGACAATATCATTGCCAATATGGCCGATATCCCCGCCGGCCACCGCGCGCTAACGAGCTATACATCATGCACAGCGGATTCCGCAACGAGCTCCATGGCCTGCTGAGCCTCTTTGTAGGATGTCTTTGTCAAAATGCCAAGTGCAGGGCCTTCACCCGCGCTGTCAGTCCCATCGAGCCTTTTCGTGGAATAGGAGCTCGTGGGCAAGAGCGAAGTGCTGAAGCATCTGCTCGAGGCCAGGGAGCTGGTGGTGAGGTTGGTGGGGCGCGGGAGTGCAGTGCCTGGTGTGGCTGCCAGCACGTGCGAGTGAAGAGAGGAGAGAGAGAGAGAGAGGGGGGGAGAAGATGACATGATGTGGAAGTCGCTGACATGTGAATCCCACTCTCACCCATTGACCCAATGCGTCAATCATGGTCAACCTGCCACACGAGTAAAAACCGCTTCCCAAACTATTAAAGGAGGTGGTTTGCATTGGCTTTTGAAGATCGGGGAGACGTTACACCCGGTTTAACAGTTGAGGGAAGCAATTAAGGGCCTGTTCAGATCGATGCCATTTTTAATCATATCATTTTTTTTGGCAAAGTTGCCAAAAAAATGCCTACGTTTAGTTTGGTGTCAAACTTTGGTAAGGTTTATTTTGGCTACAATCTGAAAGTCCTAATAAGAACATAAAGATAAGGGATGGAAAGTAGACTTAGGGCTCGCTCACTTCATTGCCAAAATACACTTTATCATTTGTTGGTAAAGCTGAGGAGATTGGTAATGCCAAATTTTGAAAAAGTTAAAATAAATTTACAACGAAAAATATCTGTCTAGTTTATTAACTTACTAAAAATTAGCAATACCAGGAAACTGGTAAGATTTATTTTGGCAATGAAGTGAACGAAGCCCTTAATTCGCTAATAGCGCCTGTAGTGGCCCATTCGTATGCTAATTGGACCACTGATGGGCTGTCATCGAGTAAGTGGGCCTTCAGAAGGTCGCAATAGTTCCAAAGCTTGGGCCTTAATGAACTATGCCGATGTGGGAAGGAGATGACAAACGGGCTCGGGGGGGTCGTGGGCCTCCTGCTAGTGCCGCGTGCAAGTCAGCAACCATCAAGCCGAATGAGAGTGTACTGGGCCCGTAGTTGGGCCGTTCGTAGCGATCGTACGGCCCACATCTTGTGATTCTACGGCCATATTTTTCGGCCTTAGTCTATGCTGGGTCCCGTTGTTCTCTCTCTCTTTTCCAAAGAATCATTGCAGTACGGTGGATCAAAATTCCTCCGAACGAATTCAACCCTTTCCAAATTCCAACGCCAACATTTATTTACCAAAAGAACAGAAGTAGTAAATGTTTTTGAAGCTACCCACGTTCGTCTCACGATCTTTCGACGAGGAAGGACGAGGACGATTGTGACATGACGCTACAGTAACAACCTAAGTCGAGGAGGGGCCCTGCACGTCAGCCTGAAGTGAAAGAAAGCACACGCCTCATCCAGATCGATCATTCCAACTATATTACCACCCCTTCCAACTTTTCTCAAGTTGCAGCTGTGGGCATCATGCATCAGTGTGCATCACGGTCTCTTTGTTTGGATGGTCGTGTCATATCAGCTGCTATATATACGTACGTACGTACTCCTACTATACTGTACCTCTGCAACTGCAACTGCGACCTGCATAGACAGCCAAGCTGAGATATCGATCCACGGTCTGTGAAACTTAGGAAAGCCGTTAGCTTCTGCATCCATGCCATCGACGTGATCAATCTCTCGCATGGCTTCCATAAATATCCCCTCCTTCCTTCCAAAAGGATACTTACTACTCCCTCCTTAATTCCATAAATATTACGAATTTTTCAGTTTTGAAATTTATCTGCGGATATAAGAGATTTTAGAATAGTACTACTATAAGGCGGAAATAATTTACTTGTAGTTATATCATTAAACATGAACTTTTCGGGGTCAAGAGAATCGGTGTAATTTCACCTCATAAACAACCTAAAACTCTTCATATTTGTATATAGAAGGAGTATTACTAGAACTGATTATAAGCCGTAAATTAAAGCTTATTAGCAATAAAATTAGGTAAAACTTAATTTTATATATGTGTAATTAGCGATTTAAATGAAAATACTACAAAATAAACCATTATAAAAGAAACATCGACACCAACTCTAAAATTAAATAGTTCAATTTTAAGTTTAAATTTGGTTGTGTTTATATGCTGAAAAGCAAACGATGAAGGTAGGTTGGCCCAACCTTAGACCCTTGCATAAAAAATAAATCTAAAATTGGATGTGACTTAATCTAGTATAATGAATATGGATAGAAGGCCAAGCAGATACATTATAAAGTATATTTAACACATCTAGTTCTAGATTTGTTCGTTTAGGCGGATGGAGTAGTTGCCGGTTGAAAAGTTTCTGATGCCCTAACTAGGTGTGTGTTTATTTGGCAATTCGATTATATCGATCACCGAGTAATGGGGATGTATTTTGTTTTATTAGGATTAAGATTTTGATCAACAATTATTCTATTATAATATAATTTTTGTGAAGTAAAATTAATGTTATTAGACCCGTCTTCAAAAGTACTTTTATATTATTATATTTTTTGTCACATAGATGATATATTAGATAATAAATTTTGTCCTAACAAAATAAAATACGTCATACATCTTAAAATGGTGGGAGTATTTGTTTGGATTAACCGGCCGTTTTAGGAAACCGTCCTTAATTGGCCAGTTGGTTTGCCACTCAAAGGAAACAAAAAAAAAAGGCGAGGTGAATTAGTAAAGCCTCAGTGGCTCCCGCTCTAATCAGACACGCTAGCTGCTTTATTCGGCGGCCAACATGGGAAGGTGGATGAGATTCTGCCGGATCACTGAAGATTGTATAGTTCCTACAGGAGCTATGTTGCCTCTGATCACCTTGCTTTTCTTTCAGATATGTGCTTAAGTTTACTTTTCTTGGTTTCCTTTCATCTTTTAAGCAAGGGTCAAGGGACATGATATACACTTTCTCTGAGGATAGTGGAGAGAGATATATATATCTCGGCATCTTTCAAAGAAAAGGTGTACTGGTGAGAGCTTATGTGGATCTTAAACTCTTAATTATAGCAAAGTTATTAGCTATTAATAGCCAAAATGCGGCTTTGCTAAAGCAAAAGGAGCTGATGAAAAACGTACTAGATCAGCTAGATAGCT